GGACACCCCCGTCTAGGCATCTAATTGCTTGGTAGTCCTCAGTTTAGACATCCAGAGGTTGCTTGATGAGCAGGGACTATATTAGAACCTGCCAGGGGTGGTCGTTAGCTCTAAGGACCATTCCATCTAGGCCCTGCAGAACTTTGCTCAGGTTCTGAACAGGTCACGCCTTTCTAATCTACAGCTCAGGCCCTCTGTCTAAGATCATGCTATACCTGCTCTACAGCACTCAGGCCTTGGACTCCATCCTTTCTGAAGTCTGTGGGTTTGCTGAAGGAGGATGCCACTGGTATTGGGATTTGCTGTGTGCCTAAATCATTTCACTTCCCCACTGACAGATGTGGGTTTTTTTGTTTTGTTTTGTTTTGATTTTGGTACCAGGGACTGAACCCAGTGGCATTTGACCATTGAGCCACATCCATAGCCCCTTTTTATTTTTTATTTTGAGTTGTTGAGGCTAGTTTTCAACTTGTAGTCCTCCTGCCTCAGCCTCCTGAACTGCTGGGATTACAGGTGTGCGCCACCATGCCTGGCTAGGTGTGGGTCTTTTAAGAGATGGTTAACTCCATTCATCATCAAAGGTCTAGAGTTTTTCCTCAGATTGTGGGGATACTTTGCCACCTGACTTAAGAGTCAGGTGTACTTCCTGAGTGTAAAACCTTGTTAGCTTGACTAGGCCCTAGTGGCTAGAACCTAGGTCTTCAGTTGGAGCACCTGCTTAACACTGCATGGCTAACTTTTTGAATGTCTCCAAGGCGTGTAATGTAGAAGAACCTACAAATGTTTATTTTGAGACATGAGTGGACTTCAAAAACCTTTAGCACCACAGCAGTGTCAATCCCTGCTATGTGGAATAGTGCACATGGATGAGGTTCTAGAATCATTTCCAGAATAAGATGTGTGGCTCTGACCATTTGTGACCCAAGTATGAACATTTCCCTTAACAGCAGTGTTGGAGTGGGTTCCTCTATAACTTTGGGTCCATTTTTTAGATAAATAACCCTGACATGAGAGTGCAGATCCTCAAAGATTACGTCAAACAACACTTCCCTGCCACTCCGCTGCTCGATTACGCACTGGAAGTGGAGAAGATTACCACCTCAAAGGTAATAAAGGGAAAATTTGCTACTCGTGTTTCTGGGTGAGTTTCTTAGGGGAAATGGAAAGCAGTTTGATTGTATGTTCAAAATAAAATCTGGTTCCCTGGAAATTTTTATTTTTGTTGCATAACTAAATTGAACCAACAGAAGTGTGTACTAGCCATAGAGTCCTTTACTATACACTAGGAATTGAACTGACACAGTCTCCAGCACATGGGAGAGTTTGTGATTTTAAAACTCATAGTAATAGTAGTAACAGTGCAAAATTTAAAAAAAAAAAAGAGAAATGATGTTAAATGCTTTGAATTTTTTGCCTTCCCAGAAACCAAATCTTATCCTGAATGTAGATGGTTTCATCGGAGTTGCGTTTGTAGACATGCTTAGGAACTGTGGGTCCTTTACTCGGTGAGCACTGCAGCCATTTTCTTCTTCAGCTTTGATTTTTGTTCTTTCTTCCCAACCGTTGCCGACAGCTCGGTTCTTGTCCCCAATGCCAGTCTAATAACAAGGACATGGTTTTGAGAAAAAGGAAAAAGGCAGGTTATTTCTTTGCTAGCAAAGGAGAAACACAGGGGGCTCCTGTCCCAAAAGCTGTGATTCTGCCCATCAGCAGGAACAGGGGTTTTTTTTAAAAGAGGTAATTCAGAGAAAATGAGATTAGGGAGGAGAGATCAGGAAGAATGTGATGTGAGGGAGGAGAAGATTAGGGAAAAGAAGATCAGAGATCAGAGAAGATAAGATCAGGGAGGAGAAAGGGAGGAGATCAGGGAGAAGCAGGTTGGGAAAAAGAAAAAAAAAATGTAAGTTTCAAAGCCACAAGGGATACAGTCAAAGCATCAGGTGAACCCCTGATACACAATTATGAATAATGTATGCTCACGATAGAGAATTTAGAAAGTATAAATATAAAGAGGTATAAAAAGAAAACAAATATTGTCTCTAACCCTACCACCCAGAGCACTTCTTTTTCATTTTGAAACCAAAGAGCTGCTTATCCCCAGGCAGTAGTAGTTACTGGGTGCCTGGAGGAGGACAGTCATGTGAGCCATTTTAAAACTACAAGTTGATTGTGTGTTGCAGGGAGGAAGCTGATGAATACATTGACATTGGAGCCCTCAATGGCATCTTTGTGCTGGGAAGAAGTATGGGCTTCATTGGTGAGTTTACTGTTGTTTCAGGCAGTTTTTTCCCTTTAAGCCCCCATAGTTAAGCTGCACCACTTACCTGTGTAGTAAATAAATATCTATAACAGAGATGTCACACTTTTCTTAATTGTCATTCTTAATCCTTTCTTTCTTTAATATTCCCCTTATTTTTACCCTTGTTCCTTTATTCTTGGGAAGGGCTCTGATTGCTAGCCTAGGAAAATGGCATTAAATAACAGTTCCCCTTTTGCCAAGTGGCTGGTTTTACCTGTGGGATCCAAATTTACTTCCCCATTTCTTTATGCCTGCCCTTTTTTTGTGTCAGGAAGACTTTTTTCCCCCTCCCTCATCCTCTGCCCCTCACCAGGCTTCCAGACTCTATGAACATAAAGATGTATTTTCTCCATTTCAGGACACTATCTCGATCAGAAGAGACTGAAGCAGGGGCTGTATCGCCATCCATGGGACGATATTTCATACGTTCTTCCAGAACACATGAGCATGTAACCAAGCCAGGAGTCCTAGCACTGTAAAGTGAAGACAAGAACTCCTTGGGAAATAGCATGCAGACAGCTGGCAGTGGAGCCTGCTATAGGATGGGTCTGAATTGTAAGCCGCCACTGGTATGCAGGCACCAAACACCAACAGCCATGGGTAATGCCTTTTCAGTCCACACAAAGAAGCTTAATATTTTTTTTTTATAAGCATAGAAATAAAAAAAAACCAAGCCAATACTTGTGTCATTTTGCTCTGCTACCTGCTACCTGCTGTATTTATTATATGGAAGCATCAGAATAGTATTCTTCCTCCTTGTAGGATGTTATGATGTCACTTTCTTTTTTCTATCAGTTAAACATTTTTCCCTGCTTGGAGGAAGGGAATGAGACTTCAAGATATTATACATTTAAAGTATCTCCTGATGTCTTGTTTTTCTTCTTCCCTTTCCTCCTCCTCATAACATGAAGAACATTTGTATTAATTTGATTTTTAAGAATCTTTTTCTATGGGTTAAGGATTTATTTAGCACCCCACAGAAATGTTCTGTATTACAGGTCAAGGTCTGCTTACATGGGGAGAGGGGTGTGTGGGGGACCATTGCATCCTTTGCCATTGTCAAAAATGCGTGGAGTAGTAATTTAAAATGTAAAGTTGTAACCTACATATGTTTAAAATGGAAATGCCAAGCAAAAAGCTGTGAATGTCTTATGTCTTATGTTCTCTGTATTTATGCAGCTGACTTGTCTGTCTGTTACTGAAGTGTGGGTCCAAGGACTCGTCCCAGTTACTTTGCATCTATAATCCAGAGATGCTGGGTAGTTGCCATCTGTCTCTTCTCTTTATTATTATAGTTTCGTTTAAATAAACTATATAGTAACAATTAAAGCATACTGCTGTCTCATGTCATCCATATTCTTTTATCTGTATTCCTTCGAATTGTACTAATTCAGTACTATTTGGTTTTAAATTTTTAGTTCACTTTTTTTTTTTTTTTTTTTTTTTTTGCAGGGGTGGCGGTGGTGGCAATCAGGGATTGAATCCAAGGGCCCTCAACCACTTAGCCACATTCCACAGCCCATTTTTATTTTATTTTGAGATAGGGTCTTCCTAAATTGCTGAGACTGGCTTTGAACTTGTGATCCTCCTGCCTCAGTCTCTTGAGCCCCTGGGATTGCAGGTATACAAAACCACCCCGGATTTAGTCCACCCCTTGAAAAGAAAAATAGGAATAAAACCTGCTTTGCTGGGCAGTTGGTGTTTGAGGATAGCCCAAGCAACTCAGACCCTGTCTCTGTCCTTATTTCGCTTTTGATTCTGCTATAATCCTCCACAAAGACACCAGTGGTTTGTGTGTGTGGTGTGGGCGGGTACTGGGGATTGAACTCAGGGGCACTCAACCACTGAGCCACATCCCCAGCCCTATCTTGTATTTTACTTCAAGTCAGGGTCTTACTGAGCTGCTTAACGCCTCACCATTGCTGAGACTGGCTTTGAACTCGCAATCCTCCTGCCTCAGCCATGTGCCACCGGGCCACCGTGCCTGGGGCACCAGTGATTTTTCAAAACACATCAAATGGAACCACTCCTTTGCTTCAAAACCCAAAATGGCTTTTATTCATCTTTTTAACCATTGCGAAACTGAACTGAAACATTTGACTCGAGCATTACCTCATTTAGTCCTCACTGTGACATTTCAAACTAGGTAACATCCAGTTTTTAGAAAACAATAATTCCGTTCACCCTTATCAATTTAGCCAAGGGTCACTTTTTCTTTCTTTTCCCGCTTAAATTATTTTTCTCCAAATCCATTTTACTAATTTTTGGCAGTGTTGGGGATCAAACTCCCAAGCCATTTTAAGTACAAAGCCCATGTAACGACCGAACGTTTAACTGGGTGATGGACCAAGGTAGCTTAAGTGTTTTGTGCATGGTGTGTATTGCGGACTTAACCTGGGGGTGCTTTACCACTGGGCTACATCTCAAGTCTTCCGAGACAGGGCGCCCTGAGATCCTCCTCCCTTAGCCTCCCGAGTCACTGGGGTTACAGGGGTGCGCTACCACGCCTGGCAAAGTGGCTTTAACTTCACAAAACGTGAAGCGCGAGCGCGGCTCTCAAGAAGGGGAAAAAGCCATCCACTCCGGAGGTAGGTGGGAGCCTGAGGCTGACGGGCGCGGTGCTGCGGCGCATGCGCGGCGCGGCGGCGGGCGCAGGCTTGGCTCCGCCCTGCGCGCACTATTTAATCCCAGAATCCTTCTGTGTTGCACTAGAATGGCCGCACCGTTCTGAGACTGCGGATACTGGCGCGGCGGCGTCAAGATGGCGGCAGCAGTGGCGGCGGCGGCAGCAGCGGCGGCCGCAGCTGCATCCCTTCAGGTGCTGGAGATGGAGAGCATGGAGACCGCCGCCGCCGGCTCAGCGGGTCTGGCCGCCGAGGTCCGAGGCAGCGGCACGGTGGACTTCGGGCCCGGGCCCGGGATCTCTGCCATGGAAGCAAGCGGGGGCGATCCTGGCCCGGAGGCTGAGGACTTCGAGTGCAGCTCCCACTGCTCGGAGCTGTCCTGGCGGCAGAACGAGCAGCGGCGCCAAGGCCTTTTCTGCGACATCACTTTGTGCTTCGGTGGCGCCGGAGGCCGCGAGTTCCGGGCCCACCGCTCCGTGCTGGCTGCCGCCACCGAGTACTTCACACCCCTGCTCTCGGGCCAGTTTTCCGAGTCGCGCTCGGGCCGGGTGGAGATGCGCAAGTGGAGCTCGGAGCCGGGGCCCGAACCCGACACGGTGGAAGCCGTTATCGAATACATGTACACCGGCCGCATTCGCGTCAGCACCGGCAGTGTGCACGAGGTGCTGGAGTTGGCCGACAGGTAGGCGAGGGCGGCGGGGCCGCGGACCACAGTCACTGCACTGCTGCGGGGCAGCCAGTGCGTTGGGCACGGAGGATGCAGCCGGGATTCTGCCGAAGGCGCCCTGCCCCCAGGGAGCGTAGACTGCAGGTGGAGGGACAAAGGCGATGAACAGCAGTCAGTATGTGATGAATGCTGTGATGACATTTAAAAGTAGTGAAAGGCTCGTTGTTGAGGAAAGACCTTTCTGAGAGGTGACATTTAAACCGACCTCTAGATGACAAAAAAAAAAAAAAAAAAAAACTGGTGCAAAGATGGAGGATGAACATCCTCAGGCATGATCCCGTTTGTCTTACGGAGGGAGGGACTTTAAAAAGGAAAATCCTTTGAGGTGGGATCTAGTGGGTTAAGGGAAGAAAGGGTGTGTGACATGCGTTGGAATAAGGAGTTTAGATTTTACTGAGTGTAATGGGAATCTGGGTAAGGAAATGATGTGATTTAAGTATTTTAAAAGATGAGTCTATTACTATGGAAAACGCTTTGTAGGGAGCGGGAATGTATGTTCCAGAGACTGTGAGAAGGCAGTATCTTTTTACATCCTCTATTTTAACAGATACCTAGTGAGCACCTATTATGGGTCAGGGCAGACTCTAGACTCTAAGGTACTTGGAATCCAGCCTTGAGCAAAACAAATGAAAGCCCCTTTCCTCTTTGAACTTACATTTGGAGACAGTAGGTAAAATATAATCTGTTGAATGATGATTATTGCTCTGAAAAAAATAACGTGGTGGAAGGTACACACATAGAAAGCCCTGATGGAGAGGAACTGACTTTTAAACTGGGTGATAGCGAATACCTTTTGCAAGGAAATAAAGGAGGTAAGGTAGAGAGTGTTTCGGGTATGAGACACAAGTGCAAAGCTGCCATTATGGGCTGTGTGGCTGGATAGAGGGAGCTAAAGCCTTGGGATGGTAATTCTGATCCTCTAGGGCCTCTGGAAGCATAGGAGCTTTTACTTTGAATGAGATGACAAGAAGAATGGTGTAATTTGAAAAACTAGCAGAGACTAGTGTAAGTTGTTGGAATGGTGGTGAAAGCTTGGATTGAGAAGGGAAAGGAAAGGTGATGGGAAGGACTGACATCTCCTCTTCCCCCTCAGTGTTGGAGATCAAACCCAGGGCTTCCTGTATGCTAGACAAATGCTCTTCCACTAAGCCACACCTCTAGTGCCCCTCCCCTCACCAACATCTGTATTGTGAAGGTCAAGTTATTGTTAAGATGTGGAAGGTTGCAGAAGAGCAGGTTTGGGAGGAGGGTCAGTTTGAATTTATTCAAAGAGATATCTAGGTAAACGGTTGGGTTAGAAGAGCATCCTTGAGTTTTAGGCATCATGGTACACACCTATAATCCCAGAAACCTGGAGGCTTAACCAAGAGGATTGTGATTTCAAGGCCAGCCCCAGCAATTTAGCAATGCCCTCAGCAACTTAGTGAGACCCTGTCTTGAAATTAAAAATGAAAGGGCTGCTGATGTTGCTCAGTGGTTAAACACCCCTGGATTCAATCCCCTGTACCAAAAGAAGAAGAAGAAAAGCATTGAGTTGTTAAGTCAGGTTATGGGGGAAAAAAATCATGAGGAAAAACAATGCAAGGAAAGCCTTATCAAGCAGGAACATCTCATTAAACATAAATCTTTATATTTAAGAAGAAAGTATTGGAAGCTAGACATAAAGATTGAGGGAAAAATAGCATATAAATGGTAATTAAAGCCATGCAATGACTGAAATTACTTAGAACAGTGTAGGTAAAAAAAGGGAAGGGGGGAAGGGGCAAGCAAAACAACCCTGGAATTCTCCAAAATGATAAAGAAGCTAGCAGAGGAGACTAGTCCCATAGAGGTGTAGAAAGGAAGAATGTCAAGGAAGGAGTAGCCTCTAAGTGATCACTGGAGGTTGTGATGGCATTGACAAGAGCCTGCAAAGACTTGCTATAAAGAGGGTAGGGCTGGCCAGGCATGGTGGTGCACACTATAATCTTAGCTACTCCGGGGCTGAGGCAGGAACGTCACACATTTGAGGCCAACCTCAGCAGCTTAGCAAGACTGTGTCTCAAAATTTTAAAAACTGGTGGGGAGAGGAAATATTGATGTTACAGGAGTTGGGGGAATGATAAAGTATGAGGCTGGATTAATTAGAAGGCAGGGCAGGATGGGCATATCCCTGAGAGAGGGAGTTCCTTAAATGAAAATGTGAAGAGAAGGGTCATTGCGCTCAATGAAGCTTTGTTTTTGTCCTGTGACCTTGTGTTTTTCAGACTTGCCCCTTTTGGTGGGAAAGTAAGGGTAAGGAGAGAAGACTCCAAGCAGTTTACTTTTAAAACTATCAGGAAGGGAGGATGAGCATCTGCCTTGTGTCTGACACTATTCTAAATGCTTTGCAAACATCTCATTTTATCTTCCCATCAACTCTGAGCCTCCATCCAAATATATTCTGTTGGTGGTCTTGCTTACCTAGTGGGAAACTTGTAAGGATCAAAAATAATGCCCCCAGCATAATTCCTGTCACATGACAGATGCCAAGTGTGTGAAGTGTTGTTTTCAGAGAGCAGTGCTTCCAAACATCTGTCTAAGGGAACATACCTCAGAGTTACCTGTAGCACCTGACAAACATAGAGAGCTTAAAGGCAGCCTAGGAATCAAGTGACCCTGGAACCCAGTCTGTGTGAGAGCCATTAGAGCCCTTCCCACTCCCCCTTGTCTTTGTTTTATATCTAATATGTATGTTTTCATAAGAGGGTGAAGGCAGCCTTTCTCATTTATCTTTTTATCATCATACTTAGGGTAGTTATTAAGCACAATAACCTTAATAACAAACATTTATTGAATTAAGATGGGCCTAGTTTGGTGAAGTTATCTTGATATTTTTTGAGGTTCTTCTCAGCTCTAGAATTTACTCTTCTTAAAGCAGTTGTCTCAAATTGGCCACCCTTGGGCTGAATGCTGCCAGATTTATGATTTTGGCTAAAACTTTGTGTGTGTGTCTTCTGTAGTGGTTTTTTTTTTTTTTTTGTGGTGCTGGGGATTGAACCCAGGGCCTTGTGCGTGTGAGGGAAGCACTCTACCAGGAAATATTGATGTTACAGGAGTTGGGAATGAGCTATATCCCCAGCCCTCTTCTGTGTTTTAAATGAATTGACTTTAAGTGGGCAGGCAACATCCTATCAGCTACATGCCAAACTACTTTCTTCTGTTTTTTAATCTACACGTCCTATACATGTGTTTTTTGTTCTTGTGCTTCTAATTTGTTTCCTGATTTCAGATGGTAGAACTTGCCTTCTTGTCTCTGCTTTAATGAGAATCTAGTTCAGAACAAAGCCCCCCAGTCACCTCATCCTCTCTGATAATCTAAGGAGAATCCTCTGGTGAAGAGGACAATAAGACCTCTGACATAAAGCCTAGACTATTCTTCCTTTTGATATCTGACCAGAGTCTCCAGGAAGTCACAGTTCCTGCCTTGCTCTTACTTTAGACTATATATGATAAAGCCTTTCACCAAGACCTTGCCTTATGTAAGATTACTGGGTATGGTGGCACATGCCTGTAATTCAGTTACTTGGGAGGCTGGGTGTGGTGGCACATGCCTGTAATCCCAACAAAGCAGCTTGGGAGGCTGGGACAGGAGGATCAATTGCGAGTTCACAGCCAGCCTCAGCAGAAGTGAGGTGCTAAGCAACTCAGTGAGACCTCTCTAAATAAAAATATAAAATAGGGCTGAGAATGTGGTTCAGTGGTCAAGTGCCCCTGAGTTCAATTCCTGGTACCCACCCCCCAAAGAAAATAAATAAAAAGAGCTGAGCATGTAGCTCCTACACCCTTCTCCAATGGATCCCCAATACTGCAAAAAGCAAAAGAGAAGGCCAATGGCTAGGCATAGTGGTGCATGCCTGTAATCCCAGCTACTTGGGAGTCTGAGGCAGAAGAATTGAAAGTTCAAAGCCAGGTATAGTGGCACACGCCTGCAGTCCCAGTGGCTTGAGAGGATGAGGCAGGAGGATCTTCAGTTTAGCCAGCCTCAGCAAAAGCAAGGCGCTAAGCAACTCAGTGAAACCCTGTATCTACATAAAATACAAAATAGGGCTGAGGATGTGGGTTAGTGGCCGAGTGCCTTTTAGTTCAATCCTCAGTAAATCCCCCCCCCCGCCCCCAAGAAGAAAGAAAGTTAAAGGCCAGGTGAGCCACTTAGGGAGACCCTGTCTCAAAATAAATTTTAAAAGGGGCTGAGGATGTTGCTCAGTGGTAGAATCCACTTAGGCTCAATCTCCAGTACCACAAAAGATAAAGAAAAAAAAAAAAAGGAAGAGACCAGTGACTAGCAAGGAATTAGGAAAGAATGGCAGAGACAAGTTTGGTTTGGAATTTGCCTTTGCTGATGATAAATTAAAATGAAAATAAAGTACAAGACTATTTATTGTACTTTGTTTAATTATATGTTCCAGAAAAATCTTACAAAATTAAAAACGTATTTTATACCTGAGTATATTTTTGATGTATGATATATAATTATATATAAACTAATATAAATACTTTAAAATGTATTTTTACATAAAGGTGAATTTTACTTATACTTCTAAGTATACTCTTTTCTAGCCTGTGCTTTCTGATTTAGGGAATTTTCTTTTTAGATGTGCATCATGTGAGATTAATATTATTTTATTTGTTTCATTTATGTGCTTTCAAAATGCAACCACAGAAGATATGCCCATTTGAAAATTAATCTTTTACTTTTTTCTTAATTCTAGATTCTTATTAATTCGCTTAAAAGAATTTTGTGGAGAATTTCTCAAGAAAAAACTTCATCTCTCAAATTGTGTGGCCATTCATAGTTTAGCGCACATGTATACCCTGAGTCAACTTGCTCTAAAAGCTGCTGATATGATACGGAGAAATTTCTACAAAGTCATTCAGGATGAAGAATTTTATACCTTACCTTTCCATCTCATTCGAGATTGGCTTTCAGACTTGGAAATTACGGTTGATTCTGAAGAGGTTCTCTTTGAAACAGTTTTGAAGTGGGTTCAGAGAAATGCTGAAGAGAGAGAGAGATACTTTGAAGAACTTTTTAAATTGCTCAGGTTGTCCCAGATGAAACCTACCTATCTTACTCGACATGTCAAACCAGAGAGGCTGGTGGCCAATAATGAAGTTTGTGTCAAGCTGGTGGCAGATGCAGTGGAGAGGCATGCTCTGAGAGCTGAGAACATACAATCTGGCACATTCCAGCATCCTACTTCTCATGTCTCATTATTACCTCGCTATGGGCAAAATATGGATGTGATCATGGTTATTGGAGGTGTGTCAGAAGGAGGTGATTATTTAAGTGAATGTGTGGGATATTTTGTTGATGAGGACAGATGGGTGAACCTGCCCCATATTCATAATCACCTTGATGGACATGCTGTGGCAGTAACAGAATCCTATGTGTATGTTGCGGGATCAATGGAACCAGGGTTTGCTAAAACTGTGGAAAGATACAACCCAAATTTGAATACATGGGAGCATGTTTGTAGTCTGATGACAAGGAAGCATTCTTTTGGGCTAACAGAAGTTAAGGGGAAGCTGTATAGCATCGGTGGACATGGCAACTTTAGTCCTGGCTTTAAAGATGTGACTGTTTATAATCCTGAGCTTGATAAATGGCACAACTTGGAATCAGCACCAAAGATTCTTCGAGATGTCAAAGCGCTCGCCATCGAAGACCGATTTGTGTACATTGCTGCCCGCACTCCTGTGGACCGAGACACTGAGGATGGGTTGAAGGCTGTAATTACATGCTATGATACAGAGACTCGACAGTGGCAGGATGTGGAATCTTTGCCACTTATTGACAATTACTGCTTTTTCCAGATGTCTGTGGTCAATTCAAACTTTTATCAGACGGCATCATGCTGTCCCAAGAGTTATTCTTTAGAAAATGAAGAGGCAGTAAGAAAAATTGCCAGCCAAGTGTCTGATGAGATCCTTGAAAGCTTGCCTCCAGAAGTCCTAAGCATTGAAGGAGCAGCCATTTGTTATTACAAAGACGATGTCTTCATTATTGGAGGCTGGAAAAACAGTGATGATATTGACAAACAGTACCGGAAAGAAGCCTACCGATACTGTGCAGAGAGAAAAAGGTGGATGCTCCTTCCTCCCATGCCACAGCCTCGTTGTAGAGCCACTGCTTGTCACGTCAGGATCCCATACCGGTACTTGCATGGCACACAGAGATATCCTATGCCTCAAAATCTAATGTGGCAGAAGGACCGCATCAGACAGATGCAAGAAATACATCGGCATGCCCTGAACATGCGGCGGGTGCCAAGCTCCCAGATTGAATGCTAAATTCTCTAACACATGCAGCTTATAAACTGTTCTCCATGTTTAAACATGAAGCTGAAGATACCCAGACTGTTACTTGAAAAAGTATGTCGATAACTTATTTTCTACCTGGAATGATTATAACTCCATGTAAAGGAAGTATAGTTAAAAACTGAAGAATGGGAAACTGAATTCAATACATGGTAATTTTTGTTAGTTTGTGATCTTTATCTGTCTTTAGTTTGTGTGTGTGTGTACAAGCTAAATAAGATCTTATTAAAGACAAGTGGAAAAAGCAGGTCTAATTATTTGGCTGTTTTTCTGCCAACAAGTTATAACTCCTTTGTCTTAAGAGATTTATGTTTTGCAAATGCTTTAAGTACCAATTTTGTTTGCACATTTCCTTTGATATTCCTTTTCGTTTTTTATAGAATGGTTGGTTTCAACAAGATCAGAATTTATGCATTAAGCCCTGGTCTGCAGGAGGCATGTGCAATAGTGAGACTGAAATTTAAAGGAAAAAAGCACAATATTTTAGCAAGATGATTTCAGAATGTTTGCATTGATATTTTTTGTATGTGTTTATCTAGAAGTGCTGTTTTGTTCATTTCTAGGTGATTGGCTCATGGTTGTTTTTGTTTTGTTTTTACTTCTTTAGCAGCTATTTATAGACTTCAAGCCTTCACCCTGAGATATGGTAGTTGGCAAAAAATTGAATCCAGAGGAAGTTACATATGTGAATTTGTTTAAGAAGAAAACTTTTTTTTTTTTTTTTTTGGAGAAGATGAAGAAGAAAAGTATTATAAGTGTAGACTGAGAAATCAAAAGAATTTAAAACTTTTTTTTCAGGAGTTGCAGGATTATTTGAGGATATGTTAATGAGTTTAATGCTTATGACAATCGATACTCAATGCCTTCAGTTTTAAGTTTTGCTCTAATGCATGTTATTTAGAATCTTCATTTCTTTCTAAAAGAAACTTTTCAAAATGGAAAGAAAGTAACAATTTGGAGAAATGTTGCTAAAGAGAAGCCTTATTATTTCTGGCCCTGATTGTTGTAATATTTTATGCAGTTGTCCTAGACTTGTATTGGAACTTTGCCTGAGCCTAGAATACCAAATTTGGGTGCATTAATCACTGCAACTTTCCTTTAATTTTGTGCATTATTCTGATTCTCTGACACTCCTGAGCTTTATAAATGAGTTAGCATTCGGGCTGATTCTTTCAGCACTCAGTTAACATAAAGGACTCCTATTTGGTGGTTTGCAGTGTGGATCCTGTATTTTCAGAAATGTCTTTACCTTTTTTAAAAATTCTGGAATACCATTTTAGAAGTCAAAGTCCAAGTGCAATGATTTTTTTCCTCCAGCCTTATAGTTAACCACCTATAGGTTGTTAGTGATCAAACTATCAAACCATCAAGAGAAAGGCACAACCAGAAACTTTGGCTCTCAAAGAACTTTCCTGAATTTTCTAAATTGTATTCCCACCTAGGATAAGTATTTTTAATAGATTGGAAATCGGTTTTTAAACCATTTAATTTAAACTGGAGTAAGGATGGGAAATTGCAAGTCTGTTTCTTCCTAAGAATATATTATTATCCTACCACACTACTACATTTCTCTCAATTTCCATTTCTTCGTAGTTATTTTTTAGAAAGCCATTTGGGTTCTGAGAAGCACTAATTCTTGGTTGGGAGAGGTCTATGCAAGTAAGACAGAATCATCAAAGCTCAATGATTTATCTCTGATGGGCTCTGCTAGCAAATTTACTTTTCATGGTTATGTTGAAATAATTTAGTATCTCACTAGGATGCCAGTTTTTCTCCAAAAGAGTGTGAAATATTGTTTTTTTGTTTTGTTTTGTTTTGTTTTTTGAGACAGGGTCTTGCTAAGTTGCTGAGGCTGGCTTAGAACTTGCTCCTGCCTCAGCCTCCCAAGCTGGGATGATAGGTGTAGGCTGCCCACACCCAACCTATTTTTGTTTTTTGATCTCATTTCCAAGTTGTTTACAGGGTCATTTTTTTTTCAATGATGTGATAGAATGATAACTAGTAAGATTTAGGTATAATCTGGTTTTAATAACTTGATCAAAACTGTTATTTTTTAACTCAGCAGGCAGCCTAGGCCTTGACTGAAAGAAGGGGTAAGTCCTTCATTGCATGATGATGTGTGCAGGTTTCCCTGACTACTGAATTTCTAATTTTTATATTTTGAATTCACACTGACTTCACATAGTAACTTGTGTTTCTAAAATATCCTAACTCACTTGTTGATAAGGAAACAAACCAGATTTGCTTAAATCTGTTCAAGGCTGACATTCTGAAATTCTAAACTGGAAATAAGACTATTTGGAATGGTTCTAATATTATGATCAGGCCTCAAGTGGCTGTTTGGGAAAGAAGTTTTCCTTTTGATGAAACTTCAAAATGGTGTTTGGTAATTTAAGCAGTTTTTAAAAACACAGCTTAATAAAAAAAACAACAGCTCAATGAGTACTCATGCAAACCTTTGTTCTATTGCTTTTGTTTTTCTTTGGTGAAAGGGAGAGAGAGGAATTGATAATACCAAAAAAAAAGTAATAACTATACATAACTTTTGGTGAGGCTGCTTTCATCTTAGAATGGGGTATCCTTGAACTATAACCGTAACGTGGTTTTTAAAAAAAATCAGTACTATAAATTGAGAATGTCAGTCATGAGCTTAGTGTTTAATACATCTCACTTGGAGTTATTTGCATGATTAGTCTTGTGTATCTTGATAGTCAGCTTTGCTTTTGCTGTGCCAATTCAAAAATAACGTTTTTTCTAAGAGCTCTTAGAATTAATTGACATCAGATTTGTTTTGATCACCTGGTTTTGTATAGTATTTCTGGGACCAAGACATTTATATTAAAGCAACAACACTTGATCATTTTAACGTAGAGCATAAGAAACAGTTATCTATAGAAGATTTGTGTGCTTTTGTGTTTTAACCCTTTCAGGCTGCTGGCTAGGCAGTTTCTAGAGCACTCTCTTTCCTCACTTATCTCATGACTGGTGTAGCATGTGATATGTTTAAAATATTTCATTTTGTGCTTCATGATTGTCATATCAACACTATACTCTAGACAGGTGAGCTGAATTATACATTTATTTACTCGGTCTGATTCAAGCAAAACTAAAGGAATTTTTTTGGTACTTTCCTCAAACTGAGCTTAAATAAAAAGGATATATCAGCCACATTTCATGTCTTTGAAAATAAACAGTATCGTGAAACAAACACGCTGCCTACACTAGAAAAATAGGGTGCTTTAACTGTCGAATATTTGAGAAACTCCTCAGTCTCTCCTCCACCGTCAACCATTTTGACACAGCTTGTCACTCCAGTTTGTGACTTTCTTAAGAAGAGTCCATATTGTTGTTTGATGCTCACATTATAACATAGGTTCTGGTCACTGGACCAAAACCAAAACAGCTTATAGTTGAGTGCTACAATACAGTAACATAATAGTCATTTTGCTTTAAGGAATTTAATTAATCAAATTATTGCTCTTTATCATTGGCTCCTGTAGGGCTTTCCTCTTACTCTGTGACCATTCCTACAAATATTTTACACTTACACTAAAGCACATAAGCTAAAGCACTTGTTAGCTTATTCCTCCTACTTCATGCACTCGTGAAAAGCAGTGCTTGCTAGGTGTTTGAAGATATTACAATCCATGTGCTAGGGCTCATTGAATTATTTGTAAAATTGATATTTAGTTGTTAACAACTTTTTGGGCTAGCAGTATCCAGGCCCCTATGCAAGGTATAATCTTGACTGTCTCCCTTCAAGTCAGAGGAGATGTAGTATTTAGAAGATTTGAGACATTACGTTTTAAAATAACTTGTCTTATGTTACTGAAGCTATCTTGCTCTGTGTTAAAGCTACTAATTGTCTCAATGTTAAGTTTTCAATAAACATATTTCTTTAGAACTGGTTTGCACTGTGTGATTTTTTTAGTTGTGTACTGGTGAAGTTAATTACATTCTTCCCCTACTCCCTCATTTATCCAACCCTTGCTTCCCTTAAGTTGAACATTTTCCAGTACCCTTACAAGTTTAAAGACTGCATTTATTTAAAAAAAGAATTAATTCTTATTGCTTAGACTTTTTATTAGCTAAATGAAGAGGCTCATACAGGTAGGGTACTTGTCGAAGCGGAATACTTTACTTCATCTCGCAGTGCTAATCCTGTGAAGTTGTCCCTTCTAGCTGCATATTCCCCAACATTGGCCAGCCCCGGTACCACACAGCAGCTCAGAGCACTGCGGTATATACTCATGTCATGAGCATCATACCACTCGTCGGTCTTTTCATCATAGCACTCAACATTAAAGGTGGTGGTAAAGCCATTAAAGCCACCTACCACAAACAAGAGGTCATCCACTACTTCGATGCCAAAATTGCTACGTGGATTAAACATAGTGGGGATCGTACGCCAAGTATTAGCCACTGGGCTGTAGGCTTCTGCACTTCTAAGTCGATTAGCTCCATCAAAACCACCTACCTGTGGATTGCAAAAGAAACATGGTTGGCTGGTAACCATTGCTTCTGTTCACTGAGGAAACCCTCTTGGGACTTCAGGGCCTGGTGGATACACCTGTAATCCCAGTGACTTGGGAGCCTGAGGCAGGAGGATCACAAGTTCAAAGCCAGCCTCAGCAATTTAGCGAGACCCTAAGCAACTTAGTGAGATCTTGTCTCTAAAAATATAAAAGGGCTGGAGGTATAGTGGTAAAGAGCCCCTGGGTTCAATCCCTGGTACCAAAACAAACAAAAAAAACGAAGCCCTCTCTTGGGGAGAACCAGTGATCTCATGCCTCCCTCTTTTCAAATGCTTACCAAAGGTACACTAAACCTGTTTGCTAACAAAATCTATTTTTCTTGTACAAGACAAACTTACCGCATATACGTGTTCCCCATAAGCAATTACACCTATTCCACTCCTCCTGCTTCTCATGGGTGCTATGACTGTCCACTGATTACTCTCAGTGTTGTACACTTCTGCTGTAAACAGGCATTCATTTCCATTAAACCCACCACATATGTAGACCTGCATGAAGAGAGTTGAGAGTCTGTTAAAATTGCTCTTGGGAATAGAGAGAATCAGCGTGTGGCAGGGGATATGTAATGCCAGTCTGTATAATCAATTTTTCTACATATGCATGCGTTGCTTTTTCTTTTTTTTTTTTTGGATTGGAGGTGGAAGTGAGTTTCATCCACAGCCCGTTTTATTTTGAGACAGGGTGTTGCTAAGTTGCCAAGGCTGGCCCTCAAACTTGCAATCCTCCTACCTTGGCCTCCCAAGCAGCTGGAATCACAGGTTGCAGCTGCTGCATCATGGGTTGTTTTTTTGTGTGTGTTTTTGGTTGGTTATTGTTTTGTTTTTTAATTGGAGATTGAACTCAGGAGCTCGTTACAACTCAGCTATATCCCAGCCTTTACTTATTTCTTATTTTGAGACAGGATCTCAGTAAATTGCTGGGAATGAAATTCTGATTTTCCTGTCTCGCCTCCTGAGTCCCATGCTGGAATTCTAAGCATATGCCACCACACCTGGCCATGCATTGCTTTTTGATACATAAAAGTTACAAATGATCAATCATTTGAGGAGAAAATTCAGTCAGCTCTCTGTATACTTGGGTTCCACATCCATGGATGCAACTAACCAAGGATTGAAAATACTGGGGGGAAAAATTGTGTCTATAATGAAAATACACAGACTGTTTTCTTATAATTAATTCCTAAACAATACAGCATAACAACTACTTGCATAACATTTAAATGGTATTAGGTATTATAAGTTAAAGTATGTGGAAGGGCCTGGCATGGTGGCTCACACTGTAATCCCAGCAGCTCAGGAGGCTGGGGCAAGAGGATTGTAAATTCAAGGTCAGCTTCAGCAACTTGCCCTAAGCAACCTAGTAAGACCCTGTCTCAAAATAAAAAGGGCTGGGGATGTGGCTCAGTGATTGGGCACCACAGGTTCAATCCTCAGTACCATAAAAGCAGTGGTAGCGTGCCTGTAATCCCAGTGTCTGGGAGGCTGAGACTGGAGGATCTCAAGTTCAAAGCCAGCCTCAGAAACGGCAAGGCACTAAGCAACTCAGTGAGATCCTGTCTCTAAATAAGACACAAAACAGGGCTGGGGATGTGGCTCACTGGTCAAATCCCCCTGAGTTCAATCCCCAGTACCTCCCCCCCCCGCAACAAAAAAAATGTATGTGGAAGGAGTTGGGCATGGTCGAACACACCTGCAATCCTAGTGGCTCGGGAGTCTGAGGCAGGAAGATTGCCAAGTTCAAGGCTGGCCTCAGCAACATTAGTGAGACACTGTTGCAAAATAAAAATTAAAAAGGGCTGGGGGGGGGGCTGGGTTGTAGCTCAGTGGTAGAGCACTTGCTTCCCATGTGTGAGGCACTGGGTTCAATCCTCAGTACCATATAAAAATAAGTCTAAAAAAAAAATAAAGATATTGTGTCTATCTACAACCAAAAAAATATTTAAAAGAAAGAGGGGTGGCTGGGGACGTAGCTCCGTGGGGAAGCACCTCTGGGTTCAATCCCAAATACCAAAAGTTAAAAAAAAAAAAGTATGTGGAAGGACAGAAGATACGCACTTTAGATAAGGGACTTGAACATTCATGGATTTTAGTATCCACAGGAGGTCCCAGTCCCTGAGGAAACCAAAAGATAACTGTACTGCACAGTGAGTCCTGCCACTTTGTTTCCCATCCTCCCCACCACGGGAAGAACAGCAGCACTTCTTGGGCTTGTTCCCGTTTCGGGCCTCCCCTCCCACCCTGGTTCTTTACCTTCCCATAGAGTGTCGTGGCGCTGGCATCGCTCCTTTGTTCATGCATGGGGGCGATGAGTGTCCATTGATTGGTCTCTGGCTCATAACGCTCAGCAGTATTGAGACGCACGTAGCCGTCGAATCCTCCCATGGCGTATATAAAATTGCTGAGGACTGTCACGCTGACATAGCAACGTCTGGAGTGCATCGGGGCCACTTGGTGCCAAGTTTTCTTAACTGGATCAAAACGCTTTACACTATTGAAGTAGTCTACACTATCGAACCCCCCAATGATATAAACATAGCCTTTCAAATAGGCTGCCCCATGATAGGCACGAGGACTCTCTTCCTCGCAAGTGACATTCACCCATCTGTCTGCCCGAGCATCATATGCCTCAATGGCATTGGTGGGGCTCCCACCACTCCAGCCACCAATTGCAAATAGGATGGCATAGGGCAGGCGGGGCCTGGTGAGTGGGTTGGTGAAGTCAGAATTGGAGGGTCCGTTCATGTTTAGATCATACATGGCCTTCAGGGCATTAATGATGACTGGCTTGCATTCCTCACTGTCTTTGACATAGTCATTCATCTTAACATTGTTCATGAAGTACTCGGCATGCATTAGGGCCAGGCGAACCTAAGAAGGAAACAGAGAGAGTCATTCAGATGAGGTGAGGGTGCCTGAAAATCCTATATACTTAAGATCTCTTTTACAGGCACTGCTGCAGTTATTTTGGATTGTTTTTAGATGAATAACTCAGTTTAAATATTTGCTTTTGGGAGGAGGCATACATTTGGATGCTGAGAATGAATTAGATGGAAGGTAACTGAAGGAGTCAGAACAGGACTATCAGAGCAGAAGAAGCTATGGTGATTGTTTAGAAATTGAATATCTCTATCTCCATATGTAAAATAACACTAATCAACACCAACTGGCGGGCTGGGGATGTGGCTCAAGCGGTAGCGCGCTCGCCTAGCATGCGTGCGGCCCAGGTTCGATCCTCAGCACCACATACAAACAAAGATGTTGTGTCCGCCAAAAACTAAAAAATAAATATTAAAATTAAAAAAAAAAAACACACCAACTGGCTAAAGCTGTGTGCACTACTCATGATTTGGTTTCTAGTCCAACTTGTACCTTGGGTTTGTGGAACTCATCAAATGGAAAAGGATGAAAGATGGCCCATTAGAATTCCTTGAAGGGACTCTCCTTCCCTGTCTACCAAGGAGAATTTTGGCCAAAGAACATAAGGGGTAGAAGGAACTAGCAATGTCAAAGAAAATTGCAAAATTCCAGACAATAGTAGGGATGCCTTCTATTTAGTGCATGTAAATAGAGCCCTGGATCTGTCACACATAAGCATGTGGTTCTTAGGGACAATTCCTCTGGGATAAATCAATCAGGAGTGAGCAATTAGCATTCACAAAGAATAACTAAACTTGACCTTAGGAAGTAAAACTGAAATGTGCTGCTTCCTATTTTGGGGGTCATGGGAAATCCACTTTAAAATGGCCTCAAATACAGCATCTTCCTGTTTGACGTTGAGCTCATCTTTCTCAATGATATCCTTAAGTTCAGTGACCGAGAGCTCTAGAAACTCTGCTGAGACTTTCACCATCTCCTCGAAGTTGTGCAGTATGAACATGTAGGCCTTCTGCCTCAGCTCAGGGCAATAGTAGTAGTCCGTGAACTTGCAGATGCCGATACAATTATCCAGACACAGCTCCGACTTGAGGAACTCACAGCAACCCCTAACAATACCCATGATGTTAAATTGGTCTGCAGCAGCCAGCAGCTTCTCCACGTTGTCTGGGGTGATAGGCACGGTCCGGGTGTATGCATATTCAATAATTAGCTTCATCATATCAGGGGAAATGCCAGGAATGTTGTATACCTTCTTCTCAGTGTTGTTCCAGCCACTTGTAAACAAAGCTCTGGAAAAAAAAAAGAAACTAGCAGTCACAGAATATATGTCTCCCATCTCCCCTTTTCTGTGGTGCTGGGGATTGAACCCAGGGAATTGTGCATGCAAGGTCAGCATTTTACCAACGGAGCTACATTCCCAGCCCCTTTTCTTCTTGAGTTTGGACATTTTCTAAATAGTGCACCGTATGATGGAAGCGGATTGGCCTGAGAAG